CTACATGGTTGCATATAATTTATAGTACAGCAGTACTGAAAGGCATCCAAATTAAGGATCCAACTGGTGATACATTAAAACTGCAATTCACATTCCAAAAATCTTCCAAGGAGAAGGAAATCTGCCTTCTACCATTTAGTGGTTCACTTTGAGCAAAATCTTATCCATAGCAGAAGGAAGCTTTCCTGTTCACAAAAAATTACATTTAAAATGACAAATAATATTTCTACAGGTCTTAAGGCAGAAATTCCATAGTAGCAGGGGGTAATTTTCAGTATAAGAGACTTTGAAATTTGTGATTTTTTGGTATACTTCAAAAGAATTGTAGGTATTTTACATTAAGTGGTTGAACCTTTCGTTTGCATTACATTCTATAAAACTGGCCTTTTTAAAAAACACATTGACTGTTTATACAGTGCGTGACTGAAGTATAGATTGCAAGTATTTATATGATTTTATAATTTGTCAAATACACTTGCCCCACACATTTACCATACGTATATATACATGTAAACAATGTATCTATAGTATCTTAATAATCTTGGACTCTGTCTTTCAACATAAACGTTGTGTATACCTACTGTTTAGCCTGAAGGTCACTGGTTTTCTTCTGTTCTAGTGCTTATGTACCAAAGACAGCAGCAGGTCATTGCAAGTGGGCAGAAGTTCTGAAAGATCTGGAGCAGATCAAGACATCCAAAGTAAGTTCATAAAAAAGTCAGCTTTTCATATAATCACAGGAGCAGACATAATTAAATATTTAGCACTGTACTCGGCTAACAAGTGTCAGTGACAGGGAGCAGGAAAAGGGATCATGTTTGTACAATGCTGTTTCACGGCTGGAAGCAAAGGAATAGAAGGTTAAAGGGAATTCAAGTCGACCAAATACAGCAGACTCTAGAATTAAATATTGTTTTCTTTCTCACTTTTCTTAAGAAAAGGGGCAGTGGGCTTGGGAATTAGCTCCTTTGGAGAAAGTATTGTGGGACTTTATTCTGATGAGTCCTCCTCACAGCGAAGCCCATCCTGCAGGTTACTAGGTGACTTTAAGATTCTCTGACTTGCTGGCTCCCAGTACCTGGATGGATTGAGCCTTTGAACTTGGAGCTAATCCAGGTCTTGCAGAATTAGCTTTATTATCTCTAAATCTCTTAGTTAATGTTCATAATTCTAACTCTTGTTTTCTTTTAGGACATTGATGTCAGTTTATATACTGCAAACACAGATGAGGATGTAAGTAAACTTAAAATTTGACCACAATTGGTCTAATATGGTAGCTTCATTTCTTTACTAGCTACTTTCTCCTAAGGCAGCCTTGGTTTAATTTAAGATAAGTTTCAGAAATGAAATAATTTGTCTTGGAAGGAACAGTTCTATTAGTTAAAATACTTATGATAAATTATGTATGCAGGTATAAATTATTCTTACTGATTCACCTGCTATTAAAATTAATCAATTAAAAGGGATGATTCAAAATGATCTTACCAAAGCAAACACTGCTAAAATAATGTTGGTATTAGTTTGTAATCTGAGGGAGGGAAAAAGTGACAAAGAAAATACTTCCCAAGCACCATGGACTAATGGAATAAAATATTGGAGAAGTGGAATATGGAGAGTAACTGTCAGCATCTACCTCTGCTTTTACCATTCCTTAGCTTAGCAGCAAACGCCTAGGTACTCTCAAGGATTTAGATTTCTAATAGATGCAGACTATAATTTATCCTGCAAAGGATTAATTATGTTAATTTGTCAATACAAGTCTTAATACAATCATTGAAACCTATGTAAAATATTACAATCTTAAATGCAGTTTCCATAAATTCATTCTTGAAGAGACTTTTTCATAATCTGTTGCTGTGGAGCTCAATCTGCACTCCATGGGACACACATGCATCCCACCAAGAAACTGAACCCAGCCAATACCCCACTCCTAGCAGTCACCTTTGTATAGCCTTGGTGGAATCGGCTGGATTCATTGCTGTGGTAGTAGCCTGCTTCTGAGACATTGCCTTCCTGACAACATAAACATTCACACAAGGAAAGTGTGAAAGTGAAACAACCTGGGACCTATTCTTGGCTTTATTTTCGACTTGTTGGAGAAATTAGTACCTCTGCTTCTTTTTCTTTAATTTGTGAAATACAGGTATTATCTACTTTCTCTTCTCTCCTACCTATTTTGAATTCATATCATGGAATCACAGAATGGTTTGGATTGGAAGGGACCTTAAAGATCATCTAGTTCCAATCCCCCTGCCATGGGCAGGGACACCTTCCACTAGGCCAGGTTGCTCAAAGCCCCATCCAACCTGGCTTGAACACATCCTTGAACCTCTGTATTAAAGTGCTAAAACTAGTAAGAATAATACCAATTTAATTGCACTACATTTAATTCTATCCTAAATTCCTATCTTATTTATTTTCCTATCTTCTTCACCAAGACACTACATTTCACCTCATCTTAACAAACTGGCTGGCCTCTATGTTGTTAGCTCTCACAGCCAATCTTTGTAGATATTTAAAAGTATTTGAACAGTAAGAAGAGATATCCAGTAAATAAAAATCAGCCACTTTGTGGTAAATTGTATTTTATATTCACTTATTCCTTTTTAATTGTAAAACTATTACAACTTCATTTTTTTCAGACAGAATGCCAAGAACCTGTAATGAGATGCTTTTTCTTAGAGACAAAAGTGATTCTTCAAGAATGTTTTATCAAAAATTGTAGTAAAACACAGTATGTATTGAACATATGGAAAAACGGAAATGCAAGCTTAGAAAAAAACAGGGTAAGTAACACCAACAGTTTGTGGAAAAAAGGGAAGTCACAAGACTTTCTTCAGTAGCATAAACACCTCTTTTGTTATAAAAAAAGGTGGGAAGGTACAGATGAAAGCAAATGGGATCCAGTAACCTGTACATGTAACTATGAAAAAGCTACATATACAACAATGAAAAAGCAGAATTTAGTGTTCTTTAAGAAAAACACTTTCAGGATTCCCATCAAAGCAAGTATTTTTGACTGTGCATGCCTGCATACATATGTCAGGGTGTTTGAATATGTATGTATAAATAACAGTTTGTAACTTCAGTATCTAAAGTAAGGTATGCTCAGACACATACAAAAAAGTATCCTAATTTCCAAAGGGACAGCCACTTGCATCACTCACTGAAGTGCTGCATCCTTGAAAGCTGATCCTACTCAGAAAGCAAGGCAGGAGCTGCACAGACCATAAATACTGTGCAAGCCTCCAGCAATGCTTTTTGTAGACATTGACTGCCTTGGAGATATTCACAAAAACAACAAGCAAGGGTTAGGTTTCTGTCAGAACAAATAGATCAGTATCCTGCTTTACTATTGCATTTTGGTTTTCAGCTGAATTCCACATCATCAGCAAAATGCAAAGAATGTGAAGAGTATGAAGAAAAAAATTTTACAGAATTTATACAGAATTTTGTAAAGGTTATACAGAAGGAATGCAAACACTGACCAAAAGGCATGAGGTGGGAACCAAGATTCTTCCACGAACATCCTCAGACAAGTAAGATTATTGCCAGCAATAAACTGGAAAGAACATCACTTACAATCCTACTTACATAGCATAACACATAAACAAAAGAATAACAAAATCCCTGTAATTCACAATCTATTCATAACTGAATAGGTACAAATGATATTACTTATGAAATATAAATGAAAGGAATTTAACAGGGTTTAAAGCTTCTTCTTGACTTAAAGTGTCTTCATTTTTTTGTAAGTCCACCAGAAGAGAAATCCTGCCTAACTTACCAACCTTTCAACAAAATCCTCTAAAAAGACCTCAGGATATCAGCAGTGGGAACCTCCTCATGAACATCCCCCACGTTTGGTGCTAACTGAATGGGATTTCAGAGAAAAGCTCTTTTATTATTATGAATATAAAATTATCATACCCTGTTAAAGCATTTGGCTGTAGCTATTTTTGTTTTCTGAGATCTATCCCTTTACCATCTGTGCTCCCGGAAGAACCTAGCTCATCTCTCAGTTCTGTTGTTAGTTATGTCTGACAGTTTTCCTTGCTATTTTTTTTCTCATTAACATTCCTTCAATGAACTAGTGTCAAAACACAAGCTGAGGCCAATTTGTCTTAAAGGTCTCTTGGCTACCTCTTAATATATAATATATATTATTATATATATTATTATCATTATAA